AAAAATAGTATGTTTTGGCTTTAATCATCTTATCTTTCTCTCCGAATTAGTGTGCGCTGTTTTTTCGTAGACATATTTCGATTGGCAGGGTAATCGATATCATTTGTCAGGCCCATTGGCAATGATGTAATCCCAGCCGAATTCAACAAATTATTGGCGGAAATGTTGGCACATTTCAATAGCTGCAAATGCTTTCTGTGGGTTTCTATGGCTGTGAGGTTGAGTGTGGGAGTGCTTGTATTTGTATTTGAGGCCAACAATGGCCGGTGGTCTATTGGCACAGCAGAGGCAAATGTGGAGCAATCAGTGCGATGTTATGCGATAACAACAATACTTAATACTATTAATATTTTATGATTATTGCTGGCTATGCAAGACGCCAAACAATGGGGAAAACTGAACTTTTTATGCGGCTGTTGCTTCCGGGTAATACAAAATATGGAATTAATTTCAAACACAAACACTAATATATAATGGCAACAATAGCAGAGCCAAGCGACTTTTTGTGTGTGTTTCTGGATGTGTGTGTGGTGTGTGTGTGCAATAGAAATGTCGGTCGTGTGGATTAATAATTCAATTGAATTGCACAATGCGTCGCATGCGTTTTATACTTAATATGCAAAATGCCTTCCAGCGAGCGAGTTTAGATAAAAAAATGCATATATGTGCGATTTAAATGCAAGCGGACTTTGTGCTTTCGAAAGATTATGAAAAATGTCGCTCTGATGCAATATCAATGTCAGTGCCAGTGCCAGTGCCAGCGGAATAGAAATTCCCATTAAAAATTTCCACAGAATTTGTCAGTAAAATGCACGACTCGTCGCACTCGACTGATGTGGGCCAAAATGCTCGTCTGTCAATTAACTCGATAACATTGTTTACAAAATTGGCACAATTTAGTTATAAAGGATGTAAGCAATGTTTGTAATGCTGTTTACTGGAGGGCTCTTCATAAATTAGCTAAAAATCTATTTACGCGTAAAATGTCAAGCAACGTTGAATGCCCGTTCCCCGCTGCATGTTGCCAGCTTCCCATCACTCGTTTTGCCAGCTGCGTCTGTGCTGCAGGATACTCTAAGTGCTGCACGTCAACTTATGTGCTACACATTATTTACATTCGATTGAAAGTTAAACGTGCGAACAGCTCTGCACAGTGCAAACTTTATCATGCCTTGCCTGAAACATGAGTTTCAGTTATGCTTGCCATATACCTTATACTAAGCTCGTAACTGTGTTCCTGCTTCTGTATTTTCTCAGTATTTTTCATATCCTTTACGTAGCACGGAATTTTTTGTTTGCCAAATAAAGGATAAAGTTAGACGTAACTGGGCGTCCCCCTACCATCTGTGCACCCTTTTCAAAAGTGGATTATGCATCGATATACACATATGTAGGTACCCGTACATGCAATGTGTGTGTGTGTGTGTGTGTGTGTGTATGTGTGTTTGCGGCGAGCAAAAGTTTCGCTTGTGCGTGCTCTGCTAATGAGTCCCGCATTCATATCCATTTAGCACCTGGCTACTGAGAAATGAAATAAGAAATATATACACATATATATAAATAAATATATATTTATATATATAAGTATATAAATATGAGTATTCCCTATCCAATCATATTTCATAATTACTTCAATTAAATGCACTGTGGGTAACTCTATATTAAATGAGTTTAGATGTGCCCTGATTGCCAGTCGCATGAATCCAGCTCAAGGTGATTAATACTATAAAATGTATAAATACCAAATGCATTTGAGATAGTTTCTTTAAGTAAATAGTTTTTATATTTTATACTTAATTTGTTCTGCCAAGCGTGATCTCTATATATATAAGTAAATAGTAATCAAACATTTTGTTATTGTTTTTAAAGCAAACCTGACATTAAAAAATGTTTATTTAGTTTACAAAGTATGCACATGTATATTTGAAAATAATAAAGAATTCAATTCATTCAATTTAAAATGATGGCTCTTATGTTCAAATTTACATGATAAGAATAGAGAAAGGTTAAGGATGTGTTTATTTTTATGTTTTCTCAAGGAATCTTCTCCTTCCACTCTCTGCAATCGACTTTGTAAAGTACATTCACAGCTGCAAAAAAATGTGTTCATACGAACAGACGAACTTTGCAGAATACAAAAATACTATTTTTACCTTGTGAACGTAAAGAAATACAAATATATTACAAGCATTAACTAGAAAAACCGCACACCATTTCTAGCCCAATGCAATGTATGTATATTTGTATGTAAGCAATATGTGTACAAAATTAAGACAAAGCTAGCCTAGAAAAAAAAACACATTTTTTCCCTCCTATGCAATTTTCGCAAGTAAAACATTTTCGCTCCTTATACTATCTCTAGTAACTTTCTTGAATTCTATTTCTTTCGCTCTTTCCATCTTTTTCTATCTCTCCCCTCTCTCCTTTTATTCCTTATTATATTCTTGCATTAACGCATTCTCCTTCTTTTGTTTTGTTTTTAGGGATGCGTATATATTAATGTTTGTGTATCTCTAATATATGAAAATTCCTTAAAACTTGTGGGTAAGTACATATTCACATATTATATAAAAACAGAAATTATAAGATTCGACCATGGGTTATCTCGTAGTTAAAAATATAGCTTGATGTTGTTATTTTTGTTTTTTTTTTTAATATAAGCGGCCCTTACTTAACTGTTTCTCTTCTTTAAAAAACACTTTCCTGTTATCTGTTGCGGTTTTTAAAATTATTTATGTCTGTCAAATCATCGATAAATGCTTGTGTCGATTTTTACATAACGAGTTCAACAAATTTTGAGGAATTGAGATAATATCTTTGCCTGCACTCTTTTCAAAACATTCTATTATTTGAAGCCCTTTTTTGACAACTCGTTCGCCATACGAGGTTAAAGGCTAGTGCGTGTATTTATTACGTATACGCTCCATAAACCGCATGCAATCAACCTACAATGTTTATCGAAATGCGGGCGCGTAATAAAAACGAAGTTCATAAAAGCTTATGGCTGATGGCTGACATAGTCATACAGCCGACCAAACAGTAAATTACAGGAGCATCTAAGGCAACAGCAGAAACAACAGCAATAACAGCGGCGGATACCTGAATCTGTTGTGCGCAAAAGGATAACTTTACGAGCTCGACATGGACATAAAGCTGGTAAGCTGAAACCAGAAAGCAAGCCAATAAACCAATGCACAATCGATGCCCAATGAAAGAGCACAAATTGACATTGAGATGCCCATCCCCCGCTGTACCCTTATTGCCCACACACTCACCGTGGTGCCGTCATAGCCATTTGTCAGCAGTTGAATGTCGATTTCGAACTCCAGATCCACTTTGGCGGTTGTCAGCTGCAGCGGCAGGTGATCGGCGGCCAATAACAGCGCACTGTGGTTGCGGCGGCTCCCATTGCCACTGTTGCTGCCACTGATGTTGTTGCTGCCTGACAGGAGACTGCTCTGGCCAAGGGTCCTGTTGATGCTGCTGCCATGAGTTGATGCTGCTGCTGCTGCTGCGGCCAGGGCGGCGATGGCCGTTGCAGCGCTCACGGCATTGGTCATATTGTTTTTGGGGAAGCGGGTGGGTGGGGCAATTAGGTGAATTGGATAGGGAATTGGATAATAATAGATTGAGTGGTTCTTATGCAGTCGCCGCCTGTTATAATGTGCGCTCGAATTTCAATCTCAGAATCAGCATAAACAATTCGCCAGGCGACTGCGGCTTGGCATTTTAGCTTCGATTATGATTTCTAATAATTCGTTCGCTGTGTGTTTATTTATTTTCTTAATACAAATCCTGTCGATGAGCATTTGTCGAAACTGTTGCTGAGGGCGATTGGTCTATTCATAAGCTGCATGCTGCCATGCATTTTTCATTTTCCATTTGCTGGCTGGCGGAACACACGAGCTCACGTTTGCACTATGTAAATCAACATGTCCTAGGCGTATGTCGAGCTGTGCCCATTCATCGTCATGCCACATTTCCCAAACGGAAATTGCATATTTTCAACAGTTTTTCCGTGTGGCTAAGTCTGCAGAGTCATTTATTATTAGCCACGACTATAATATGGCCAAGACTTGACCATTCGGTGGCAAATGTATTTATGTGTTGAAAGCCCGTAAATAACAGTTCAGTCGAAAACTGCATGCAGCCTGACGTTAGACGATTGCCTATGGCACGCCCTGATGCAATCAAGCAAATTATCAAATTGCTGCCAATTGCGGATTAGACCGTTATTCGTTTGCGTTTTGTGCCAATTGGGCCTAATGATAACTTAAACGTCTTGAATAAGTAACTTGTATTTTGTATTCGATTCTTTTGGGCACGCGCACTTGCGCGCGATAGAAGCGTTTAACGATTACAGCGACAATTGATCGACACTCGTGCACGCACACAGACACACACACACGCACAACGCTCACACACAGGCACACACGGACTGGCTGGACTTCTGCGTCGGCTGCTGGAGCTGCTGCCGCGCCGAACTGTGCGATGTGAAGGCTGAACATTGACTGCCCGTTAACAGACACGCACGAGCGACACGTTGAGCCCTGTGTGGCGGGCAGGCAGACGAATGGCGGGCGGAACGCTGGCGAATGCCGTGCGTTCATTTGCCAGCGCCGCACGGTATGCAACAAATTTGAGACGATTTCATACGCGACTGACGGCGAAGGCTCCGACGATTCAACAGGATGTGCCAATTCGTATCACAGGCGAACCATATGCGCCGCGCACTGCAGAGCGAGCTTTGTCGACCGAAAGAGAGAAATTAACCAAACGAAAGACGGAGAGAGCAAGCGACAGATAGAAAGAGAGACAGAGAGTGAATGTGAATGTGAGGAACACACACGGTCTTATCAGTCAGGCACCTGTTGTGCCATTGTAACATTGGCGCGTTTTCTGCGCGTTTCGTAGGCGATTTGACTGTACGCCCGCGTCCGCGCCCGCGCTCTCAATTTAGCCTCATTACCGTCCGCCCGGCCCATTGTGACAGCCTGAAGTGCATGTAATGAAACTAAATTGCGTGCACTGACAAATTGCACTGGCGCAGCAATTTTTCAATTTCATTAAGCTAAGCTAGCATTTATTTTGGCACACAATTTGAAAGCTCTCTTTTTCTATCACAAGTTAACTAATCTCTTAAAAGAAACGACGTGACTTATAGCCAGATCTTCTCGCGCAGCCAGCTAATATGCCTGGCTAGATCTGTATAGATGACGGGTTGCGTTAAATCACAGCGGTTGGTATACACCTGGCCGGCCGAGACGACGCCGCGCAGCAGCCAGATATTGTTCTCCTGAAGCATGAGGCCACCGCCGGAGTCGCCGCTACAGGGGCCGGCGGCCTGTTTGTTGCCCGCACAAATTGTGTTCGGCGTGACAAGTCTGACGCCTTCGGTCGACCTCAGGTTGCGCAAGCACTCCGACTCGGTGACAATATCCGTATCTGTCATCTTAGCTACACGCGTGTTTACATTTCCATTCTCATCGGAGCCCCAGCCAGCTACATAGGACTTATAGCCCGAAGGCAACTGCAGCAGAAAGTTCTCGCTCCACAGGCATATGGGCTTGATAAATTCACCAAAGCTGCAAGAAATAAATCAATTTTTCACTTTGAAGAAAGTTTTCGCACGCTCAGACTGTGGAAGCGCCTACCTCACTGGAGATGCCAGCTTGAGCAACGCTATGTCCGCATCCGTGTAGTTTTGTGGCGCGTACTCTTCATGTACGACCAGCACAGATACCTCCCGCAGCAGGCCATCCGCCACCAGATCCAGTGTGTTGCGACCCAGAGAGACGACAGCGCGGTTGGCGGGCAGATTTCGGTCAGTGTAAAGGAAGCAGTGCGCCGCCGACAGCACTGTTGAGGCGGAGATGAGCGTGCCGCCACAGAAAAAGCGCAGACCATCTCCTCCACGCTCGTACAGTGCCGCCATCCAAGGCAGCTGTCCGCGGCGCACCTGCGTGCCATGATGGATAAGCGGCGATGTGATGGGCCCTTCGCGTCCACAAATTCCACCGAGCTGCCGAAGTCCCTGGCCGCCTGTGTTGGGTACTACTGATGGTCTCGGTTGTGCTCTGGGAGGTTGAGTTGGAGGACGCGTTGGCGCTGGTGTTGGCGCGGGTGGTGCTGGTGTTGCTGGTACCGGGGCAGGCGGTTGTGGGACACGGAATGTGAGTCTCTCCTCCGGCTCGGGTTCTACAAAAGTGTCCTGCCAAAATGGGCGCTGCGGCCGCTGCACCGGTCGGGGATTTGTTTGCTGTACAAATTGAGGCTGCTGAGTAAATAACGGCACCGTCGTTGAGCGCAGCGAGTGAGACAAGGAGAGCGTAACACTGCTAGGAGGATCTGCAGAAGACAAAAGAATTCTTAGTGGCCACCATTAAAGACAAATTACTGAGGACCGCTTACATGGCGATGCTCTGCATAAGACAACATCGTTGAGCATCACCAGCGTCAGCTTGGGCAGCTCTTCAGGTGTGGGAAAATCAATGCGATATTTTATAGGGTTACCATTGCGCAGATTAAACTTGGTTACCTGCTCGTCGTCCCACAGTGTGAGGCTGCCAACGTAATTCTGTACAACGAGAAGGGTTGTTATTAAAATAAAATACAAAAAACTCCTTTTATACTTGTTTACAAAGTGTAAAGAGTTTATTAGTTTTGTGCAAAGACCGCCCGCCTGTCCGTCTGTCCGTATAATCGCCTTTTTCGGAGCTATTGAAGCTAGAGGCATATGTACACGCGTATACCCTCGTCAGATAAATTGTTTCGAATTTATTGGAATAGGGACTACAGCTGATAACGAATTTGCCAGACAGCATATTTATACACTGTTCCCATTTAAAATGGATACAAACAATGTATGTTAACACCATAAGTATATATATTCTTGATCAGCATGAGCCCAATAAGAATCCATTTTGAGCATAAGTCAAGAACTATAAGAGCTAGATACACCACATTTGTTATGCACTTTTTGGATAACACCTCCCTTTCTCCCCTATTTTTAAACCTTTAACTTAGTGCTTTGGTACTTACACACCTTTGAGTACCATATTTATAGCCTTAAATTATATGAAGAATAGACAGCAAACATAGAAGTTATTAAAATTAAATTTAAATTTTTTATTTAAAACCGCTTCCGCTACGTAAGTTGCGCAGTTGGCCGTACATGAGTTTGTGTGTTGTGCATAAATGCATCTTTAAGTACCTGTAAAAGCATTTTGAAATTCATATTGGGCTATATTTTGTGATTTGAAGAGTTCAAAGCATGGTGCTATAAACCAATATATTATATTGGCTGAGAAGTACAAGGGACTTTATGGCCAAGAGTGCAGTTCATTATTCAAACTCTTACTGCGCCGATAGCATCGTTCCCGACAGCATCGTTCCTACTTTATAAAATTTGCTTAATTAGTCATCACGCTTTGGGTGGCCTGAGGAAGCCTTGTAATTCCCTGACAACTCATTTGGGTAATGCTTTTTAGATGTTATACAACTTCATTGAATGGTATACAAAAAAAGAACTTGAAATATGTCAAGCTAGGCTATATATATATGGGTTTGGTAAAACCAGCATCTTTGTGGTTTTGTTACTAAAACAAATACACATAAGATTTATAGCGGCAGTGTAAAATTAATTATTCAAACAGGTGAAAAGAAACCGGTCGCACAACTTCAGATACTAAACCCCCGACGCAGAGAGCTACGTATTATTATTTTTATTTAATCTACAATAGTATATAAACAACGCATGGGCTTAACAATGATTGAAAAACCTTTGTATATTCCAAACAAAAAATTATAAAATAAATAATATATATAGTTTATTGCCTATAAGTCAATCCTATGTGTGAATCTTAATAATGCTCACATTGCTTGAAATGAAGAGAAAAAACTCTCATAATTTATGTATTAAAATGCCATATTGAAACTGTTTGAATTAGTTTTCAAAACCTTATCATCAACTAAATTATGCTTTTGCATATTCAAAGCCAATTTCCATTGCTACGGGAAAAGCACAATTCTAATCTTCTTTGGGGGTCAGTCGGTGATAAGAGTACAAAACAAATACACTGAGAGAAATCCAAATACAAACAACAAAATAATATTTGTACCCACCGAGTTTAAGCGGTTACGCTGCGAGAACTGAAGACTGAGCGTATTCTCCTGGTACTGTGGATCATGCCGTACTGAAATACGGCCCACGTACTCCTGATTGAAGGACAGGTACTCAAAGTATTGTGGGCAGGCCACCGGCGGTACCCGCTGAGCTGCACTGGGCCAAGTTAAGAACAGCAGTGTCAGAAAAATGCCGGGCACTACAAATAGCTGTTCCATGTTCTAAACACACAAAGTTACAGTTTTTGTACACTGACTTGGACGAACACGCGAAAACAATTAACTGAGCGCACTCACGGTCCGGACCTCATTGAAAGAGCGCCAAGCGGTGACTGTTATGTGTGGGATTCCGGTCAGATAGTCTGATCAGCGGTCGATGCGAATCGATGATCTGGGTAAAAACCAGATGACTCCTCTGTCTCTCTCTCTCTCTCTCTGGTTCTTTCTCTTTCTATCTCTTAACCAGCCAAGCAATTGTTATGCGTGCCAGACAGCTTCTCTCGATTTGTTTAGATTGACATCTATGTAAACAACTAATATATTTGTTAAGTTTCTCTTTAACAATTCTTTTTAATTTCTCTTCTGGTCGAGATTAGCAATTAGCGATGTTTCGCATTGTAAATTGGCTGGTGCTTAGACTGAAACTATTATTGATAGTATGCCATGAGAATAATTAACATATAAATTACCCGCCGATGACGTACATTAGAACGTGAATCTTCCGTATGTTTACCAAACGTATGTGCATATTTAAATTTGATTTATTCATTTACTATCTACAGGTAAAATTTTACTTAAAGCTATCTAAATAACTAGAGCCTGGCGTTCTTCTGGCACTGTTTTGGAGTTAGCTATTCCCACATGTTCTGGCGCACCCAGGCAATGTGCTTGGCCACATCCGTGTAGAGGGAAGGCCGGGAGAGATCACAGGTATTATTCTTGTGCGTGCCAAGTGAGATGACCCCACGCAACAGCCAGACGTTGTTCTCCCTAAGCATCAAGCCGCCGCCTCCATCGCTGGCGCATGGACCGGCGCCATTTCGCTTGGTACAGATCGTGTTCGGCTGCACCAGGGAGCGTACCATCTCGCGCAGACAGTCGGACTCTGTGACAATTTTTGTGTCCGTGATTTTAGAGAATTTAGTGTTTACATTGCCATGCTCATCAGCGCCCCAACCGGCCACATAGGTCTTATAGCCTGACGGCAGCTGCAGCGGAAAGTTCTCGTTCCAAAGGCAAATGGGAACAATGTAATCATTGAAGCTGTCAGGAAAATAATATAAAATAAAATAAAACAACAACCGTAATCCGCAACTCATTGTCTACTTACGTAATTTGCTTGGCTAGTCTGATGAGCACCATATCTGCATTTGCTCTAAACGGGACGTATTCCTCGTGGTAAAGCAGCTGCGTTACTTCGCGCAACTCGCCATCCGAAACGATGTCGATGGTGTTGCGTCCCAGGGAGACGATTGTTCGATTGGCCGGCAGATCACGCCCTGGAAATCGGAAGCAGTGTGCCGCCGATAGCACTGTCCAGGACGAGATAAGCGAGCCGCCACAGAAGAAGATCAGGGCATTGTCCGTACCACGCTCAAGGAGACCAACAAGCCAGGGCAGCTGGCCGCGCTGCAGCTGCTCGCCTTGGAAGATGAGCGGCGTCGTCACGGCTCTTTCGCGACCACAAACCGTACTCAGCGACTGGTCAATTAGCTCAGGCCTTGGCTCCACTCTATTGCGGAAGTCAGCTTGCTGTTGTACCACTGGAGTTGGTCTGGGAGTTGCCGGAACTTGAGTCTCCTCAATATTGTAAACAGGCTGCTCTTTGGGCTGAACGGACGGTCCGAACTGCCACTGTTGATTAGACCCCGGCGTAACACGCCGTGTGTCCAAGAAGGCAAGCGGCACCGTCGTGGAACGCAATGAATGCATGAGTGCGATTGCCGTTTTCGGTCGCGGATCTGCATGAGAATTGAAATGCTTTTATTGCCTGGCAATGTACTAACTGCTGTGGGTTTTACTCACACCCTGATGCACTGCAGAGCACGACATTGTTGAGCCTGATCTGTGTTAATTTGGGCGGAAAGCTGGGTATGGGAAAGTCAACGCGATAGTTAATGGGTTCGCCATCGCGTAAACGGGATTTTGTTGTCTCCTGATCGTCCAGCAGTGCTATACTGCCAGCAAAGTCCTAAGTGGATGGAAAGAACACCATGTGCGTTACATTAATTCAAAATAAATAAAATAAGACAAATTACAATTGCCTTCAACAGAGTAGCTTGAGCATTCCACATTCACTATGTCACTAAACTTTCATTATTTAATGGAAAAACGACTTGCTTCGATTTGAGCATTTTATTGAATTTTAAAGATGCCGGGGACCTCCACTTGAGTTGGCAAAACCAACAAAAAAAAACTGGAAACTGGTCGAGTTTTTTGTGCACACGGTTGGCCATAAAATCAATACATGCATAATTATTACCATGTCGTCGAGACAAACCACACAAAAAGTACCAGAAGCAGGCTAGCGAACCTCTTCAGCTTGTGGAGCTTGCTCTTAGTGGCTATTTATAACTGTTCTCTAAGGTTCTCCTTAAGGTATCGCTCGCTCTCATATTGACATAATCAATTATGCATCTCATTTATTTACCTCACTTTGCTTGCAACGATTTGCTTTTATACTCTGTTCTTTACGGTGGAAAGAATATATTCGGTTAATGGAATGCCAATCTTCAACGAAGGTAACCCAATCAATTTGTGAAATATGTACTTGTAAAGGGTTTCACCACGCGAAAGAGAAACACAACGATTTTTTGTATGCTATCACTCACAGCTATCGACATAAGGATTCGCAAATGTTTCCATTTGACTTTGCAAATGCAATATTGTTAAGGCGGCGGGAAAAACACACAGAGTAAATACACTTGTTAGGGTCAATGTGTGATAAGAGCAGAAAGATGAGCACAGCTGGGAAAAAACTACAAATAAACTTCCGCCGATTTAGAAATCTGTATGCAAACACTCTCCATACATATTTTTAACCGTAGTTATGTACCTACCCATTGATAAGCGCCGCGCTGTGAGAACTCCACAAAAAGCTCGTTACTTTCATATTGAGGGTCATGTCGTATCGAAATGTGTCCTATAAACTGCTGATTGAATGACAGATACTCAAAGTACTGCGGACAGGCGACATCCGGCAAATTCTGAGCCGAATTTGGCGATATTATGCCAAGAAGTGGTAACAAGATGCTGGACAACAGCAACAGCTTTTCCATATTATCTATCGCGTCTCTTTGTATTGCTCGAAACCAAAACAAAAAGTATTCTCAAGCTCGCGAATTAAACAGAGCCGCACCGAACCTCGCGCTCTGGACTTCGACGAACGAATGATTTGTATTTACTTCCACTCAATGAATTTCAATCACAGTCTCAATAGCTGTCCCATCAGCGTGTTTCGATGTGGTATACTCTGAGTTCTCGGGCGAAACCGGATAGCTTAACAAGCGAGCACCAGCTCTTTAAGAATAATACTCTTTTTAGTTAGTTCTCCCAATTGGATAAAGACTTTTGCATTTATTTATTGGTCATTTCCTTCACACAATATTCAAAAATTATTAATACTTTATATTATAAAAATCAATTTTATTATTGTTATTATTATTATTATTATTATTCTTTATAAAACAAATGAAAAAAAAAATAAAATATATATTTATTATTATTATTATTATTATTATTATTATTATTATTATTATTATTATTATTATTATTAGTACTATTATTATTATTATAATTATTATTATTATTCTTATTATTTTGATTATTATTATTATTATTATTATTATTATGATTATTATTATTATTATTATTATTATTATTATTCTTATTATTATTATTATTATTATTATTATTATTATTATTATTATTATTATTATTATTATTATTATTATTATTATTATTATTTTTACTAATATTATAATTATTATAAGCATTAGTATTATTATTTTTTTACTCTTATTATTATTTTATTTATAGATTTTAGTTTCGAGACATCAAATTTACTGACATAACACATTTCCTCTGTGGTCTATGGTATAAGATAACTCTGAATATTAAGAGAACCTTTTATTTTTCTTCAATATCTTTTAGCTTCAGCTAGTTCATACTTGTATTGATAATTATTATTATTAACAATTTCAAAAGATAAGGGCATAAATGAGTCGTTGTGTCGTTTTAGATTTTTTGCACATACTTTTTCCTACATTTAACATAATACGTAATTTACATTCAATTTAAGAAATGTTGAAATGCATTTCTGTATTGTTGTTGTTGGGAACCTCCCTCCGTGTTTTTACTTGTTTCTAGCGTGAATTTTGTATGGCATAGCCTCTTTTAGTATTTTATGAGATATATCTAAAACAATTTGTTAGACTCTAGTTTATGTTCTGGCTAATCCAGGTCATATGCTTGGCAAGATCGCAGTACAGCACATACATGGTGTTATTGCAGTGCTCAGTTGGGCTCCGCTGGCCCTGAGACACAACAGCCCGGAGCAGCCAGCGGTTTTTGTGTTTAACCATCAAACCTCCACCGGAATCACCAAGACATGGACCAGAACCATCTAGGTTGCTGGCACACAGCGTGCGCACGAGAACTCTTCTTCCATTAAAGCTATTTGCGCAATCCGCCTCGCTGGCAATCTTCGCCTCGACAACATTCGGATAACGTGTCACATCGTTGCCTTTGTCATCTGTTCCCCAGCCGGCAATGGAGCCGACTTCGGCTGCAATTTCGCTCTCAGCTGCCTCCCACAGACAAATTGGACTGATTATGTCATTGAAGCTACAAAAAAGAAATGCAAAAATTAAGTGCCAGAGTTTGGGATACAATTAATTGTTGATTTCACCCACATGACTGGAGTTTCTAACGTGAGCAGCGCAATATCCGAATCCGGCTGTAGCTGCACGCGCAAGGAGAATTCTGGATGCACCTTGATGCGTGATACGTCGCGCGCCTCAGCACCTTCTTCCTTGTCATCACGCAAATCATAGCGTCCCACGCCCACTCTCACGCGATCCTCCTTTACATTGTACACACAGTGGGCGGCCGTGATAACCATACTGGTCGAGATCAGCGAGCCACCGCACTTAAAGTCATACGAAAATGACTGCTTGTAATATACAGCTGTCAGCCAAGGGAATCTGCCACGCGGATATCCCTCACCTCGCTGTATGAAGGGTACTAACGTGTCGTCTTGGCCACACTCGAATGGTGAATTGGAAACAGTTGGTGAGGGCACGGCTTTGGGATTCAACCAATTGGCAGTTGGAGTTAATTGCGGCGCAGGCGTTGCTAGGGGCCAAGGTGATAAGGCAGCGATAGGTACTGTTGGTGTTGTCGGTGGGGGCCAGCTTTGTCGGATCACAGCGCTTGCAGTGCTCCTTACTGTTTCCGTCGGCCAAGGTGACCAAGGAGCAGCAGCAGCAGTGCTGGAGCGCTGTTCATTGACAATATCGGACAGAATATGAGATATTGCGTCCTCCGACCCATCAAAGATGACTGTTTTGATCTCCACATCGGTCTGCCCCTGCGAAAACTTTTGCACCCCAGGCGTGGGAACGAACCATCGCGGCGATTGCGGAGTGTTAATGTGGAGCTCGTAAAAGCGATTGAAGAAACTGGTGGGCGGATCATCTAAAAATCAAATGCAAATGTCAGCTTAATGGCTAACCACAACTGATTAAGAATTATTACTCACATTCGCTGGCTGTGCAAAGCGTAAAATCATTGAATGCCAACCTCGTTAGCTTGGGCAGCATACCCGACGCATCCGGCCAGAGGCTGAGCCGAAACTTAGCAGCACCCAAACTGACGCGCACTGTGGCCTCATCAGGATATGGCTGCAGGGCGCCAAATACAGTTACCTGTCAATTATTGGAGTGTGGTAGCACAATCAGATCAGTATTTGAATCGCAACAAGACAATCAGTTGCAGCTTATAGAGTACATACATCTAGAATGCCGCGCATCGAGAACCGCACATCGATGCGATTGCGGCCATTTTGCAAGCCAAGCGTCACCTCGCCCTGATAGCTGCCAATGCCATTTTGGACATACTGGAAGTACTGTGCACACGGGTTCTCCGGCAGACGCTGAGCAACGGATGCCATTAGAACGATGGCCACAAGCAGCAGCCGCAGTTGCGTGCTCATCGCCAGCTATAGTATAGAAAGAAAAAAAAACAACAACGAAAACTGAACCAAAAACAAAAAATATTAAAGTCTAATTGAAATCTCGTCTGTTTAATGCACACGCGACGAGCGTCAATGGGCGAATATAACTGCAATCGACTGCGCTCAGTCCCGGTGAGCGTCGACGGCATTGCCAAGCTAGTATGCTAAGCAAACTGGAAATTCCGCATCGTGCCGAAGCTAATGAAGCGAGCAGAACAGAACTTAGATCTTCAATAGTGAATCTTGAGTCTGGCGTATTGAGTGAAAACTGAATAAGGAAAGCGGAAAACAAAAAAAGGGGCACCGCTCCAGCGCGTAAACAACACATAAACGTCGGCATTAGATTAGATACACGGCCCGAGTCTTGTTTTATTTTTTTATTTTATTTATCATCTAACAATATTACGCTCCACCCAGCTGAGATGACTGGCAACGTCAGAGTAGATGACGAAGCGCGACAAGTTGCAGCCAAGTCCCGCGCGTTGAGCCAGCGAGACGATGCCGCGCACGTACCAGCGACCATTGCGCAGCACCATCAATCCACCTCCGGAGTCGCCCAGGCAGGGCCCATGCCCCTGGCTGTTGCCTGCGCAGAGTGTGCGAGGCGTCAGAAAGTCCCTGGCAGTCAGCATTCCAAGCAGACACTCCTCCCTGGACACCAGGCTCACATTGACGGCTGCAGGAAAACGCGTTGGCTTAAAATTGGCATCATTGCCCCAGCCGGCGACAGTGGTCTCTTCTCTGTCATCGAGCGAGATGCTGTTGCTCCACAGGCAAATGGGACGCACGTAGGCAGAGAATTGCACCTTCTCGGTGAGCACGAGTAGGCCCACATCACAGTCGGGCACCACATTGCCCACAAAGTCCGGATGCGTGCGCATGCTCTCCACAGTCATCAAAGTAGCATCCTTTTCGGGATGCAAGCTTGTGTCATGACGCCCCACATAGACTCTCAGCTGGGCCGGCGTATAGTCGTAGATGCAGTGGGCCGCCGTTATGACGGTGCGTGCGGAGATCAGCGTCGCCACGCATTTGTAGATTAGCTCAATCTTATTGGGGTCCATATTGGTGTCGCGATAGAGCGCAGCCAGCCAAGGAAAACGACCTCTGGGCACGATTTCACCTCCAACCTGTAAGGCAACATAACCCTCCACGCCGCACTCCTCTTCTGCCGGGTCAATACGCGTATCCACAGTGAAAAGAGAATTCCGGTTCTTCAGCGGCTTCAAAAACGGATTGGCATCCCAGCGGCCCCCATTTGACCCAAGCGATGCAGCCAATCTTGCAGTAGTCATTGCCGGCCACCCAATAGGAGTTATTGGCTGATCGAAATTAAATTGAGGCTCTTTCGAAATGTACTGTGGTTGACTTGTTGTGGGTGGTGCAGGACTTGGTCCTGCCACCTCATGTGTAGTCTGTGACGAAACAGCCATGTGCAACTCGCGCGTCATCGTTGTTGAGGGTGCTCCGTCTGAGAAACATAAGAGATTGAGACTTAGTTGTAATATTCGCAGGTAAGATAGCTCTGATCAAGACTAACTGACGAGCAAACCACGTGGGCCTAGCGCCAATATGCCGTTGCATTTGACGTCGTGGAAGCGAAGTAAATTTTCGATAATTTAAGCTAATTTGATTTCAAATTGCATAATCAAAGATGATGCAAAGGGCTGCAAAGGGGCTGCTGAGCAAGAATATATATAATTATTAAGCCAATAATAGTTTTTGTGACAACAAGTCTAGTCCCAATCAAACTAGGCATACCAGAATATAAAATAGTTGTTAACAGTGTTTAAAAAGTATCTAGTAAGTATGCAAAAATGGGGTCGCTTTTTCGCTAAAAGTACTTTATTATTAAGACAATTTCTGTGTGGCAACAGTTTCCTAGCGAAATCAACTTGGAAATACCCTATTCTCAGCTCAGATATTTCCTAACACACAAATGTTTTTTTATTGTTTCCCGCAAATCTGTATTATTCGATTTAGTGGAATAGGGGAATATTATGTAAAGTTTATCATCCTGCTTAAAAGCATTTATAATTCTAGAAGTCGGAATACTTTCCTTCTGAATGTGTCTTTGTATTTAATGGGCACCCGGAAAAGAAAATTTGTATGAGCAGCTGAACCTTTACTGTCTACGTCTAATCATATACTTAAAATAATATACTATATGCCGAATAGTTTGCTTTGATGGCATTCGACAAAATAATTGCATAGCCAATCAAAATCAATCGATTACTCACATTCACTGGCAGTGCACAGCACTTGCCCATTCAGCTCGATGCGCACTATCTTGGGCAGCTGCTGATGCTCGTAGCCATCGAAGCGCACAAAGCATTCGGCTCGTCCGCCGTTGTGCATGTTTTGCAGAGCGGTTTGCTTATTTGGATAAGGATCCAGAGAACTCACTGTGCCAGGCTGTAAGGGCAGAGAAAGTCAGGAACGGGTCTTTTTGAATGATGCTCTCTGGATCTACCTACACACGTACCTGGTCTGTGCCCTGAGACATAAAACGCACCAGCCACTCGACGCTTTTCAGTCCATCCTCTGGGGGCGTGACAATCCCTATCCAACGATCGCCCTGTATCTGATATTCGAAGATATTGCCACACCCGTAGGGTGGTTGGCGCTGGGTCAAGACAATGCGTAGACTGAGACTGAACAGCAGCAGCGTCAGCGTCAGCTTAAGCATCTGAGTTGCGACGATTGCCATTGAATGTCGTGTAAGAACTGCTGCTGATAGCAGCTGAGCGAGAACTGAGCTGCTAGATTCTAACTGAAGTTGATAACCTCAAAGGCTAGTCGTAACTTAGCTCTCTGCCCGCTGTGAAATACCCGAACGTAAGAGCGACTGGCGGCGCTCATGTTTTAACTGGTTTGCGGGCTTTGCCCAGCCCCTCCACAGTGTGAACCTGTATCAAAACAGATAGATATTTACTATGTATATTCCAGTGTATACCAATATAATTGTTAATTTGTGATTTGACGTCTTCCCTAGTAAAGTATGCTTTCAATGTAATAAGCGTATGACGGCGCTTTGTTTACGTTTCAATTCAGGCATAAATATAAAAACCTTTCTCGTCTCTATCTTGCTGTAAAACTCGTTTAAATAATTCTCAACTCTCTCTCTTTCTCTCTCTTTCTCGCTCTTTGTGTACAATCAATTCGCTCTTAGCTGCAGCATAGGTGCACTTGAGCAGAACGTGTTTAGCGGCAGATGCAATCATGCCATGTAATCGTGCGAATAAATATATTTATATACCCCGCTATAATTTCCCCTGCTTTCATCGATTCCCAGCTTAGACGGAAATTCGTTGCTTTTAGGCAAAACTTTGTCATTGAAAAAACTTTGCTTTGGCACCGCAATTTTCGCTTATTAGATGAAAAGTTAAAGATCCTGTCACACGATAAGGCAACTTTTAATATTGTAACGCAATGTTTGCATGCAAATATATTATTGAAAATGATGGTACACGAGTGTGTCAGTATGTACTTGTTTAAGTAGCAAAGCGTTGGCAAAACTTTTGAACAACAATAAACGCACCCAATCTCGATGTTTAGCTGAAGGAACAAAATTCCTCCACCTTTGGGTCGGTGGCATTGTTGTTATGGCTTAGAGGGCTTCTTTTTTCACAGCAACTTTTATAATCAGCTCAAGTTTGTTAAGCTTTTGTGGTAATTTGTGGGGATTTCGCGTAAATTTCATTCGTTTTGCCAAATAAATGAAATGAAATATACTTCTTGTTGGCCCGCAACTTGCTTCCAAGTTATGGAGCTAATGGCCGACAAAGTTGGCGCTGCTGGCACTCGTGACAGCTCCAGTCCCAGCCACAGCCACAGCCGGCATACTCCAACGGCACATATCCGACCAATTTGACTGCTCCTGAAGGTGAATTGCTTCCGCTATGAACAGCCACCCAGTCAATGGCAGCTGCCTATTACCAGCTGCAGGAAGTGCATGCGCGATGTAAATTGTGCGCACTTGAAGGACTTTGATTGCCATTGAGGCGTTATGGGAAACGTTAATTGGAACATTAGTCAGCCACTACACAAGCACTTATACATAAGTCCATACCAATAAGCAACCGCTGAGCATCGGCAATTTATGGTCAGACTTTTCAGACTTTTTCGTTGCATTTGACACCCAATTTTGTAAAAGGAGTTTATTTAGTTTTGGAAGGAATAGGGATAGATATTCCAAAAGTTTTTCTTAAACTATGTATTTTATACGAGAACCGACAAAACAAGTTTGGGGTTTCCCATATAATCTACGAATTATAAGAAGCTAAAAAACCATTACACAAAACGATATTTATCGGTATTAAAATGAGTGTACGAGAATATATATGTTTTAAACTTCAAGTTTCTGACGTCTTCCCTTAATCGACGCGTTCATATTGATAGGCAGCAGTCCTCGGCCTGAAACCTTTATGGGTTTGGAAATGCTTCATTTTGCCTGTTACTGCAATATAAAATATATAAATTATAATAGCAGCAATTATTTATCAGTTAAAATATAATATAATCAATACATTCATTTAAAATATTAGATACATATTCGTAATAAGTGCAAAGTATAAATGACAATTTAAAGTTATCAACATATGAATGGTGAGGTGCAATCATCATTTCCGAGGAGTCAATTTATCCATTTCACTTAAAAATTTTCCTAAAAATGAAATTCGTAGATGGTGATGCAGACAGGATATGTTGAAGTGAACCACTTCTACTTGTAAATTTTTTAATTTTTATATTTCTGCCGTCATTCTCGCCTACTTATACTGACAATATAAAACTTTTTTCGTTATGATGTGTTTTCTTCAACAAAATTTTGGCAATTGATTAAGTCAACCTGCGTTTCGTACACTCGTACTGATTTTAAAACGTTTTTCTGATAAAGACCACACTGTGCAACGCTTATAACATAAATCTGGAAATGATAAAATGGTAAATTTGTGCATTGCATATCCAAAAGTTAAATGCGCCGCAAAATTTTGTAGGTATCACAAGTGCAAAGACTGCGATAGCGTGAGAAGATAAAAACAAATGCATCGGCGCAGTTGGGGAAGAGCTCCAGCCTCTTGGCTTCCTTGAGACCCGCGCGGATAGAGCACTCCAGCTCGTCGTGCCAAGAGTTCTGGACATCCTCCTCTATCAGCAGCGTGTGAAAGACCTTGAGCAACTGCAAGTGCCGCTGGACACGCGGACAGCGCACAAGACAAAGCATTTGGGCATATGGCCGGAATTTGATCCAGCGCTTAAAGTCATCTACACAGACTTCCGTGCTCGCATCAATAAGAATCAGCTTGCAGTTATATTGATAAATGCCTTCCAGGATCTCGTGCTCCATGAGGCACTGGAAGCCAGCGCGCAGCTCACGTGTGAGAACAAAGGTGACTTCATGGATGGGCGTTTGCATGGCTCTCGGATACTTGCGGTTGGCAAAGCAATAGGCCAAGTGCTGTCGGCGGTGCTGCTGCTGTTGTAGAAACTCGATTTCCTTGTCCACACGCCTGATGGCCCGCGAGCCAGTTGGTTCATAGTCAGCAGCAACAGCACTCTGATGCTCAACGGCTTCATCAACCGCCTTTTCGGCCATCTGCTCGTCCTCCTCCTGCTGCTTGGCGGCCTCACAGCAGCGCAGATCAAGCGGCTTCTCATAGTCCGGGTAGCCCACCTTAGCCAGCAGGGTATGCCAACGCAGCTGATCGAATGGCTTACGCGGCACAAAGAAATCAACAGATTCGCTTCCCACACGACACTGATTATCGTCCAGTATCAGCGGCCACAGCGTCTCGAAAAAGGAGCTATCCAACGATGGTCCGTTCTCACGCTTATTACTGTCTGGGTCTGTGTCCATGTTGCGGCTTATTCGAAAAATTTGGAATTTCTATAATTGTTATTTAGTGCTTCGAAGAATGTACTCGTAAGTAGTGTCTGTCTGACAAGCATTGCCATGGTGCCTAGTCTAGCATACTATTTTATAGTAAGTATGCACACTTGTTGTGTTTTGCCGTTCAACGAGGCGTATGCGCAACAATTTCATTTTATTATCAGCGCATAAATCAGCTGCTGACTCGCATTCCCTGCACATTTGTTTATATTTGTCTCAAATTTATGGACGCTCCCAGCAATAACAACACTAACAATTTGCGTAAATTTTATGCCATTTCTGTCGTAGGTAGCCGCCGATCGTCGTCATTTTATGACTTCGCCCGAGCCTGGACTGTCCCTAATTTTATGAAGCAATATAAGCGCTTCAATATGCCAAAGATTTTCATTACGTGATGAAGGCAGCGATGGGCGTGGCAGCTCTAACAACAGCCACGAATTTGTGTTTGTTTTTTCGGGCTCATTAGCTTTTATGCCTCGGATTTTATTGCCCATACGTACAACAATGTTTGAGGCATGCCGCTGGATGCGACATATCAAACATGCCATTTACCTTAAAAAAAAAAACAGCAGTCGGATGCCAAACATGGGTATATTTATTCCGCTCTCGTCAATGTTCATCCCTAAAATAGTAGCTATATAGATGATTTTGTTGCAACGCTTAAGTAAATAAACTATGCATTCTTTATCTTATTTATCTAAACTAAATTTATATATACTTGCATTTATATATACTTAATTTATATATACATACAATCTGAAAGCTACTTATTCAAATCCCAGATAAATTTTGTATTTTAATTTTAATTCACTTTTAAACCAGTTTCCTACCGTACTAGGGAGATATTCTAATAACATTTTCCTAAATATGTTTTAATAGTTTAGTCGTCTTATAGAAACATGTAGATACTCTTCCCATATACTCTCATATACTCTCATTTCTTAAACTCCACCGCAAAGCCGTCATCGTTAATTGTCCTGTTTTTGGGCGTGCTATGTTGCGGTATGCACGCTTAAATCCTCTGCATGGATATAACAACATGTGTTGCATACCACAGGGCGTCAGGTCTGGCAAACATTGCGTATACGCCACATGTGTGCAATTCATTTTCATAAATCAATTGTGCGTGCTACTTTTAACGCGCCCGAGTGACTAACTGACACGCCCATTGCCCGCCCACCTGCTGCCCAACAAGTCGAACTCAGAATCCAAATCGGAGCCCCATTATTTGTTTTTAACTTTTTTTTGTAAGGTCTTTTTAGACCTAAATTTATGTGCACACAATTATTTCAAGTTCGCCGCCGCAGCCAAATGTAAGGCATAAAATTTAGTGACGAATGCTTATTTTACGCTTCACTTTCCGACAACTTATCGCAAATGTGATTTTCGTTGCCAAATTCTGTTATTCATTCGTTTTTACTTTTCGGCGTCACGGTGCTAAAATTTGATTTGTGCCCCGAAGCAGAAGCGGCCGTTTTAATTTAATTCTGCGTGAATTCTTATTGCCTTTTACATGTGCGATGGAAGATTTATGGCAGACCGTTTACCAACGCCGGCTGCGCTCGAAGGTTACGAAGAGGAAGAGAACCAGAGATGAAAGCGTATGGGGGAAATCGAAATGTGTTTTTAATATATAAGCCGAATTTCAATATGAAAAACAAGCTCGATCTCGAACTTCCACTTATTAAGGCCCACACATGGACTGACCGAACTTAAAGTGCCGGCAAAAGTTTCCCCATTTAAGCTGAATAGCATCCCCTTGCCAAAATTGCTTCTACCAGCATTTCTGAGCGCTATTAAAATGCGACAAGAATTTCGCGACATTCGCCTCCAGGCGGAACGCCAGCTAAAGCGTATAAAAATTTATTTGTATA